ATGTGGCAAATTGTTGTGTCGGTCCGTCCAGACTGTCTAGGACCATCGGCAAAAGGCTTTAGAAAGTTCTTGACAACACGACTTCTACTCTAGAAGAACTACGACTTACTTTATCTATTAGCAAAACGGCTTTCCTCTGTTACCGCCCTGGTCCGCATCCAAACCGCGAAGTTGCAAATGCTCCAGCCATCGAAGGAATACCGATCCAGCGAGTCTCAACGTACCAATACTTGGGGATGGAAACTGATGACCACGTTATCCCGAAACCCGAGATAAAACGACTTATAAAGCGGTGCACTGAATTATTAACTGTGCTTCGTTACTTTCATCGTCAGGACTCAGGATTGCCTCCTCAATGACTACTGATCCTATTTCGTGGCCTTATCCTCTCAAGAATGTTATACAGCCTTCCTTCATCGCAATCAGGGCTCATCAAATGACCACACTCGAGCGTTTTCATAGAGTTGCCCTCCGTCAGTGCCTTGGACTGCCACGCTTCGCAGACAATACGGCGACACTCGTAGAGGCCAAGGATCAAACAGTAGCTATGCACATAAGATTAAGAGCAATGAATCATATCACTCGTATGCATGGAGCACGATCAGCGACATCACTGCTATCCAACATTGGAGAGCTTTCTGATTCGCAGATAGGTCGATGTGTTCAAGAACTTAATTTACAAATTAGACCTCCGAATAACCATTACTTTCCTCCGGCACCTTTCACCACCCAGCCGCCGTACATTGTAGAAGAAACGCTTCCTTATTTCCCGACGAAGAATTGTATTTCCGCCACTGTCGGAAGGTCGCTTGTAGCTGACCAACTGACAAGCACGTACAATGGTTGGCTCCAAGTGTTTACCGACAGGTCAACGGATCCCACCACTGCAACATCTACAGCGGCATTCTTCATTCCCGAAGCTGGAATCGGAATCGAAGCATCACACCGTTTCAACATCGCAACCACGTCAACGACAGCGGAGCTGGCTGCACTAGCAGCGGCACTAGACGCGCTTCTCAATCTCACTCCTTGCAAGACAGTTAAGCGCCGTTCACACATATGCAACCGAATAAGACCGAGAGAGACCAAACCGGTTTTCAAGCCTCTTGCGACGTCTTAGGACCGGATGCGCTGCAGCGGAGCTGGTGCTAATCACCGAATACAGAAACCTCACTCAAACTACACTCAGACTGAAGGGCCCCTCCACTTCCTCGAGGAAGGCACGAGGGCCAGCGCTGGCCAATCGCGAGGACGGATCCGCCGTCGCGATTGGCCAGCGCCGGCCCTCCCGCCTTCCTCGAGGAAGCGGAGGGGCCCTTCAGTTTGAGTGTAGTTTGAGTGAGGTTTCTGAATTCGGCGGTAAGACGTCGCAAAGGCTTAAAAACCGGTCTGGTCTCTCTCAGTTTTAAAGGAGCGGTGCAACGATATTCAATTGGAATGTTTTTCACTTGACACGAGCTTACTGGCACACCTGGGACTCAAGGATACTCACACGCAACGCCACTGGCCAAGAAACTCCTTTGTTGCGGTGTAATTTCAAGGACAAAAACGATAATTTTCATTTAATCTCTCCTTTGCAAAATTTGATGACGTAATGTGGGGATCGCAGTACACCCAAGTGACGATATTTGAATGCGGTTCATAGATTGTACCCGAGCATTGCGTGGGCACTAGCCTTGGGCTCGTGATAATTGCTAGCTCGAGAAGCATTCGGGCAGTGACCCGTGTCCAATCGCTGCAACGACGACAACAACCGAGCCATAACAATGCCTGGAACTCAGCGCGTGTCCTGCGCTATGCCGACCCCCGCGCGTGGCTATGATCAACACTGGCGGCATATAATCGGCTCCAGATCACGTGGCCGCTTGTTCTGGCTGCGAGTTGAGGGGGTGAACGCTGCTCGTTTTACTTTAATTTTTTTCTGGGACTTCTATTGCTTGGGGTGAAAAACGAACGCGTGTTTCATAGGTCATTAACGTTAGGGATCCGTTTTAAGCGGTATTTGCGCAAAGTACAAAAATTGTTGCATTGCTCCTTTAAGGCCCGTTCACACTCTTGCGACCAAGTAAGACCGAGAGAGACCAGACCGGTTTTTAAGCCTCTTGCGATCTCTTAGGACCAGCTTCGCTGCAGCGCATCCGGTCCTAAGAAGTCGCAGAAGGCTTAGAAACCGGTCTGGTTTATCTCGGTCTTACTCGGTCGCAAGAGTGTGAACGGCGCTTTACTCAGTTGCATTTGTGTGAACGGCGCTTTATTCTCTCAGACTCTCGAAGTGCGTTGTGCAATTTGGAAGCTTTCGACCAGGCTCCTTTTCTGGCTCAATGTGTGGCCGATAAGGCTCGAAAACTTTGCATGCGACTGTGGCAGTTGGCTTTTCAATGGATTCCGTCACATATGGGTATACCCGGCAACGAATGCGCCGATACTCTTGCTTCAAAGGCACACAAGGAAGAGGGACCCAGTATTTTTATACCACGTTATTGCGAAGCGCTCAGACTGTGCAAATTAATGACCAGAATGCGCCACCCCCCTACAGAAGTTGGAAGCGGGAATCCTTCTCCATCGCTACTCGAGTCGAAACTGGCCAGATCAGAATCCACGTTACTTCATCGCCTTCGTGCAAACTGCGCCTACACATCAACGACATTTCACAAGATCTCCAGGTGTAGTACACCCAACTGTGCCAGATGCAATGTTTTAGAGAACCTCGACCACGTCTCCAAAATTGTCGATCCGCCCTACGATCACTCAACGGTCATTTTTTAACAACATCCTAAGTGCCACTATAACTGTAACTCTAAATAACGAAATCTTTTTTTCTACCGGAGGTCGACAAAGAAAAGAACTTGTTTATAAATCTCTTCTTGAGTACCTCTAAGCCACTGGACTCGCAACGCGCGTCTAGCCCTCCGGAGCGCCACCTAGACCAGCCTCGCCCTCTCGTCTCAACTGTCATCGACTAATTTGTCATCTCCATACCAGAAGACAGTTCTGCAGTGTCCCATTTCCCTCAAGAAAAAGGTCTCCTGATTCGACCCTACTCATCCAGATATTGGTGACGAAATCACCCATTCACGCATGACCATCATTCTATCGTTGACGTTTGCTACAAAGTAGATTGAGTATTCTTAAACTTCTCAAAAGCCTTTGATAAAGTACCCTATACCTTACTCTTGTCCAAGCTTAGTAAACTAAATATTGATCCGGCGGTACTCACGTGGATACATTCATTTCTAACGAACCGAGTAAATAATTTGTCAACGTGAATAACGCAAGCTCTGCTATGGTATCAGTAACACCAGGCGTTCCTCAAGGTTCTGCTCTCGGTCCGTTATTATTTCTTATATACCTTAACGATCTACCATCTCATGTATCCTCAAAAATTTCTTTATTTGTTGATGACTGCGTTATTTATCGAGAAATTACTCATGATTCTGATTCTAACTTACTACAAAACGATATTAACTCTGTTTCCAACTGGTGCGATTCGTGCTCCATGGTACTAAATTCTAGCAAATGGAAGGTTATGAGAGTGTCCCCTTATACTTCGTCTCAGCCCCCCATAATACACTAAATAACCATCCCACTGAATTAGATACGGCCTATAAGTATTTAGGAGTTCATATTACATCTGATTTATGATGGAGGACTCACATTAACTACATCATTAGCAACGCTAATCGCAAGCTGGGTTTTCTTAAAAGGAATTTTTCTTTAGCACCCCAGTCTTTGAAGCTAATTCTTTATAAAACCCTCGTATGATCAAAGCTTGAATATGCATCTTCTGTTTGGGACCCCGGTCAGTCTGCACTAATTGATTTAATTGAAGCCTTCCAAAATTGTTCTGTTAGATTTATATATTCGAATTACCATCGGACAACCAGCGTAAGCCCTATGAAGTCTAATCTTTCTCTCCCTGAAATATCAACTCGTAGAAAAGTAGCCCGTCTAAGTTTGTTTCATAAAATGTATTTCACTAATGAGACGCTGCGTAATAAGCTAATTATACCTCCACTTTACGTTTCGCCTAGACTTGACCATCAACACAAAGTTGTCATCCCGTATGCTCGCACCAACGCCTTTCGCCATTCCTTCATACCGTCTACATTCTTTGACTGGAATCACCTGGCTGCACCCGTAGTCTCGATCATAGATCACAACCTTTTTAAAAAAGCCTTGGAGCGTATTTTTTTCTAATCTACACTGATTCCTTTGATGTTTGGTGTTTCTGGCGAATCATTATGTTGTTGAATATGTTCTCGTTTATTGTTCTCTCTACTCGTGTTTTTTAGTTGTGTAATCCACTCCTGCAATGACCTCAACTGAGGTCGCAGTATACATAAATAATAATAATAATAATAAATAATAATAATAATAAAATTGTATTTCCTGTGTATCTGTGTCTGTGGTGTTTCAATATCTCATGCAACCACTCCCCTCTGTAATGCTCACCACCCTGAGGATAAAATAAATAAATAAACAAATAGACCCCTCTTCTTTTCTCACCCTCTTTCCCTGCCTGTGCGAGCCTTGCGCCTGTCCAAGGAGGCTAACGTTACGTGCAGGCATCCCCTCTTCCCGTGTGTAACAAAACTCAACAACAACGCGGCGGTGACGTGACTGAAGTTGTTTAGAAAGCCTAAATTTAAGAGAGAAAGCAACTAAACTATGGAGAGTGTTGGCAATTTAATGGCGGGTGCCCACTGTTCGCGTTAATTACAAGTGCGCATGCATTTTATCGTCGTGATGCGAGGACAAAAAGCACAAAGAAAGGCGAAGGCGCTTGCAGTCGACCAACGCTTTTGACTCTTCATCGCAGTTCGCACTGCAAACGCGGCCATAAGCCACGTGACTCCGATCAAGTAGTTGCAAACACTCTGAAATATGGGCACACCAACGTTGCCCACGCGCTTGCTGCTGCGATTGACCGTTCTCTCTCTATGCAAGGCTCTGCCTTTCAGGTTGTTCATTTGCCATGTAAAAAAAATGTGGACGTGGAGGAAAATTCTCGAACAATGTTTTTATTAGGAATGCACTTGTCGAGAAAAAAAAGCTCCAGGAGTTCATTAAATATTTTTAAAAAATCGTCGAAACAAGTTTAATTACAAGAGAAGGTCTCGAAAATCGCCATTCTTCCATCAATCATCTTTGTTTCCTTGGAAGCGTTTTTAAGGACTACACAGAGATGATTCTTGCACAATTTAAAGTTGTCACAAACTCACATAAAAGAAACAAAAAAAAAAAGTGGAAGCCACAGAGGTTAGTGTTCACCTCTATGTTCATCGTCGCAACAACAGAGACCATAAAGGGGAAAGAAAAGCTTACGTGAAAAAACAAAGCAATGCAGTATGAAGATACAAAGCGAAGACACAAGATAAAGCGTTAAAAGGAGTACACAGGGAAAAAAAAAAACAATAACGTAGGACTTCTGAGGAAGTTACCGTTCAAAAGTAAGCATGCGTGGCTTAATTATGCATTAAAGGCCGCTCTTTCTCGAGAGCTTTGGCCTACCGGAATACCTCGGAGCCTTAAAAAAAAAAAGAAGATTAACACTTCGTAACAAGAGCTTAACAAACAACAAAAACAGTCGTACTCTCGAAGGCGAGTTTCATAAGTTAAAACGAAACAATGCAAGGCTCCGTAGGTATTCCGAAGCTCACTCCGAGCTTCTTGTGTCTCGACTTTCAAGGGTTCAAAGGCACAGCACCATCAATGTTTCGCCGTCGATGGACGATAGAAGGGTGGCCAATTGTCGAACGTTTAAAAGAGAAAGGGGAGTTTTTTTGTTTCTTGTTTTGTTTCTGTAGCGAAACCGCCAAACGAAGTAAGCTGGAGGGCGCTTTGAAATCGAGAAACAAAACAAACAAGTGTCATAAACGATCGACAACATAACGTGGAAACAACGAAGACACGAGAGCCATTTTGCATCGGGAACACACTGGGCACTCGCGCAACCACAAGGGAAACAAAACTTGCAGAAATAAAGAGCACCATTCCGGCACTCGAGTCGCAACTTCATCTTCTTCCCTATATAACGCCTAACACTTAAAAAAAAAAAAGGACACTTGCGCGAAATTAACACTTTTTTTTTACGTCACAGCGGGCAGACCTCAAGTCCGGTTCGTTTCCTAAGAGCACAACACTTGGATGAGTCTTGGAAGCCGCCGACAATCAGGAAAAAAAAAAGCTGTTGTCCTCACGTCTGTGTCCGTTTCATCTTCCAGCGACCTCAGTCCCTCAGACCATTTTCGCATTCACCCTCTCACCTCGGGCGCACGACTTACAGCGTCACACAACCAACAAAAAAAGGTCCTCTTTTTCCCCATCTAAACCAGGCACACACAAACAATAACAAAAAAAACGCGTCAACAATAAGAAGTTTCACTGAGTCGAGGCTCGCGACGATCCTTTCGGACCCGGTTCGCGAGCGCGCTTGTCTAGAAGAGTCGAGTTTAGCGGCCCTCTTGCTTCCTGGAGAAGAGGAACGCCGCGGCAGCCCTAACCTGGCCGTACACTGCCGTCTTCTTGGTGGCCTGTCCCCTGGACGGTTGCTGCTGGTGCGGCCGCACGTGCTGCGGACTCCTGGAGGGAGTCCGGTGGTCGTGGGCCTTACGGGGCAGCGGGGGCGGGGGCGGTCTTTGGACCGGCGGACAGACGGGCAGCGTCCGGCCCCGCGAGCGGTCGGGGCCGTCGCAGGGCGGGCGTCATTCCCACTCGCCGACGTAGACCTCGCGGGGAAGCTGGTGGTAGCCGGGCCCGCCGGGCTGGGGTCGGATGCGGCCGTAGATCTTGGAGTAGTCGTCGTCGCTCGAGCCGCCGCCGCCGCCGCCTCCCGTGTGACCGACGTGCCCTTCTGTTTTGGGCAGAAAAGAAGGGACGCGTTTTAAAAACTTTCCAGGGATTTTCGGGACTTCTTGAGGTATGTTTCAGGCGGGTCCATATCACAAGAGCGAATGACATTTTAGCGAACGGCGACATTTGAGCGAATGGTCGTTTTAGCGAATAACGGGGGCGCGCGTTAACCCATCCGTCGCGCTGCGCTTTACGCCGCTTCAAATTTCCTCGCTAAATTTAGCGAAGAAAATAACGTCACGTGATTTGGTGTCACGTGACCTATACAGAAATTCAGTTTCCTCGCTCGATTTAGCAAGGAAATTGACGTCGCATGATTACAACACCAATTTAGTTTTCCCGCTAAATTTAGCGGGGAAAATGGCGTCACATGGCTCGATGGCACCTGACCTACACACAAGTTCGGTTTAGCCGCTACATTTAGAGCAAAAATCGACACGCGTCTCTTTCAATTATGTCTCCAGCTAATTGCTTCGTCAGACAACAACATGGTTGGTTCTGTCCGAATTTTTGATCGGGTCACTTATCGGATCTGCTTTAGTCTTTAATCGATGCTCAAACGAGCCGCTTTGATGAAACGCTATGAAGCCCCAGTCACACTACTTCTGCACGTTCGCTTCGAACATGTTGGCAGACAGTTCTTGTATGACCACAGTGACCATTATACAAGATAGAACACACACCCAAGGCAGTAACTGCAGACTGGATTATGTATGATGTGCATTAGCAGTGTGGCCAAGGCTTTCAGCAGAAGCATGGCCTGAGGTGTCTTCATTTTACTACACAAGAACATCCTTGCTGAGTCTGAGTTGGGAGATTTATAAGGGTGTTTGTGTAGACAATGACATTAGCGTCGCTGCGGTATCGGCCCCGCGATCGATATGAACAATTACGCGCGACAGTGACTGCATGTGTCGCAAAATGATTCGGTGGTCCTTCGAAGAGGCCAAGTGGTTTCGGATACCTGGGGTTTCCTTCCTTCTTTCTGCGGAGAGACTGAAATAACCAGTCGTCCCTAATGCTCGCTCGCTAGGCGAGTTCTTCCTTCTTCCGCGAAGGCGTACTCACCTGCCATTTTGTGCATTTCAAAAAAGTGAAACGGTTTTAGGCGTACTCTCTGATCAGATCTGGGAGGGTGATCTCGAAGCGCCTGCTCCTAATCTTTAAGTGGCATTTTCCTGAAGCGAGCGACGCGCAATCTGTGTATCTGCACTCAGCCCGCCGACTAAGAATGGTTCGACTTTGCTTTTTGGTCATCGATTCTATTGCAGGCGACATTCACGGTCCCTCGTTACGCAATGGCGTCATTATCACTCTCAAACGCTAGCCTCGTGACCTGAAGACAGTAGCGAGTTTTGAGCCAATCGTTTTTGCAGCGCAATGCAATCCTCACCGCGCTTCAAAGACTGATTTGAAGTGAGAGAGAGAAAGCGTCTAATACCGCTGATGTTGTTCTTAGAAAACTCGGTCCGCTAAAACTCTGCAATATACGTTATTTACGGGGTCGAAATTATTATTCATACCCCGACATTTCCTGAAAATGTGATTTTGTGCATTTGGTATCGCATTCACGCGAAAACAAAAATATAATTAATAATATTTTTATTCAGATCATGTGATGACTACACTACAACCCACGGCTCAGAAATCGTTTCCTGGAGACATGATGACCAAATTATCTGTTGTCTCAAGCATGTGTCGAAACATGTGTTGTTTTATACGTGCTTCGAGCAAGTCTAAATACATTTTTGTGAGCAATATTATACAGGACCTTCGCACAAGGGAAAAACACGACTCAGACAGTTTCGGCGGACGGTATTTTGTACGGTGTATTAGCAGCGTTAGTGCGACTTTACCTTACGATGCCTGATGGCAGTTCGCCACCTAACCCACATACTGTGCTGGACCATAGTCTGCTCTATACTGACAAAGTCTGGCAGATCGCCACGAGAAGTGGCCGCCGAAAGTGGAAAGGTACAGCGGCAGACAACGGATCAAAGGAGAGTCACGTGACGGGCGCCCCGCTGCTGCGAGACGCCGAAACACACTTGTCCCGAGCGATGGAATGTCCGCTCGTGCTCCTCGCATTCCACGCGCTACCGCTTCTTTTCTCGTCGAGTTCGAAAACCGTGTTTCGGGTATTCGCCACTGCAAAAGCTAGGCGCTGACGTACAGGTTCCCCGAGAAATGCTCTGTGCTACCAGATCCTCGCGCTCCGAATCTGCGACCGGGCACTCTATGGTTTAGTCGTCGAACTGCGAGGCTTTGTCAGTATAGAGGAGACCATGGCTGGACACAACACACGTTCACGTCCTCGTGCGTTGCAGCAATTACGTGCAACCGCCGTAACACGAGCGTGGGAACAAGGAACAAAACAAAACAAGACAATTACGCTAGATTTGTACCTGCCACAGGGCTGTAAGTTCAGCTCACCGAATGGAACATTTCGGAATCAAATGTGCGATAGCACGGTCGATTGAAACCTGTTGCAAGCACCAAACGAACGTCGCTGCGATTGTTTCCGCTTATATTTCACGGTCCACAGCTCGCGACGGGTTCTTGGTGCGCGGGCGATAACTCTCCGCGTGTCCTGGTGTTACGAGTGTTGGGATGGCGGTGTGTGTGCGTGTGCTTACGGTTGGTGACGGTGGAGCAGCTTCCGTAGGCCGAGTCGTAGATGGACCTGTCCGGGTTCTTGAACAGGCTCAGGTAGGCTTGGCTGTGGTTGCGGAACATGGGGTGGCCGTTGCCGCTGACGGCGGGGCCGCCCATGCCGCCCACGGGGGGCTCCTGACCGCGCTTCACGAAGTTGGGCACCCGGGCCTTCAGGCCGCAGTAGTACGGGTCATCTGTGAACGGAAGAAAAACGGGCGGATGAATATAAATTGCAAAACAGGGGCACTCCGGAAACTCCTCGGATATAAAGGACACTTTCAGACGAATGCGTATAGTGGATCATTGACGATGTCGCGAAAACAACCTCAATGAGAGTTCAAAAGAAAAACACTTAGGTTCTTTCTAAGCTGATGTGAACTAAGAATACGTCAACGTTGAGTTTTGAGCTTAAATGAGACGCCAACAAAAGCATTTTCCGCAACCAGAAATTGACATACGTTTCGTCCGTAAAATGCTTCTCTTTGTGACACTGCCTAGCTCTACTCAAATACACCCCCCTCACCCTCTTTTTCTCCCAACCAAAAAATAGGAAATTCAATTAAAAAGCTTTCAAATGACGTGGTCTATTTATTGCGATGTATAGATACACTCGCGTAGACTGCTCGCGCACAAGTGAACAATAACGAGTAGGGTTTTCGTTGCTTCTAATCGCATGATCTATACGAACAATATAGTTGCGCTTTTTGAGGAAAACCGTCTCATATGCGACCTGCAAATTTTCTCTGTCTTAATATATGGTTATAATATATAGAATAAGAAATATTAAGTGGCGATGTGCCGTCGCTTCTCTCTAAGCTCTAAACTGTTTCGCGCGGCCTTTTGTATAAAATTTCTCAGTGTTAGCCTCTGAACTATTAAAAAAAAAAAGCTAACCCAATGTTTATTTTATTTTTATTTTTTTTTTTCAGTTTTATTTGAGGAGTTGAATTAAGCAAACAAGCCGCCATAACCTGGAAAGTACATTCTCCGCACTACATAGGCCGCAGTAAGCTATTTGCGGACGACGCCCCATACGAAGCGGACACGCCCACTGTCCCACCCTCCTAAACCTCGCCTACTATCGCGGCCTTTGTGCAACAAGACGTTCGCTAGCGCGACCTTGTCACGTCCCATACGCGAGGCGTTTCGGTTCGAAGCAGTTTCACACAGAACCCGGAGACCTCGCTCGGGGCCAAAACGGCGGCACCGAGCCCTTCACAAGTTGGAGCACCTCGATGTGCCTAGATTTCAGAGCGTTTCCAACCGCTTGATCGGGGTTCAGGCGGTTTGGAGACCGCGTTTGCAGAACGAGCTGCGGGGAGCAGTCAAACGCGTTTATTCCGGTGGTGGAAAGAACGCGCTACGAGCAACGACCTTACAAACGTCGCGTTACATGTTTTTAGTAACGTTCTGGCGTACAGCCATTCGATTTTTTAACAGTATCGCGCGAGCGCCGACTGGCCGGTAGATCAACGTCTTATCGCGGTGTGAAAAGAGCAGGACAGTGAGACAACGCGCGTTTGAAAGAAGGCACACGCCTAGCCTCGCTCACTTGCCGTTTCACGCCGTGATAGCCTAGGGCGTTGATCTACCGGCCGGTCAACGTTTGCGCGATATTGTTAAAAGAAAAATCTGGAGGCTGTACTTGTTAGGTTCTGAAATGACAAACGAATGGTGTGATATTTTGTTCCTATATTACGTTAGCGTCTATCAAATCATACGTAACTCGTTGCCCCTTACTTGGACTAAAATTAGTCAACGGTTTCGTTTCTCTTAATCGTTCAACGCACAAACGGGACCTCGCTGCATTCTACAAATCTGACGAACGGAGATTAAAAGAACAAAATCGCGCTGTGAATGTTTCATTCATTGTCCAATTGATTTAAACGTTCAATTGAAGTTTGTAACCGCGGCTTATCGCTGCCACATACTGAAATTCGAAGTAACGCAAAAGTAACCGTCGTTACTTTTGGGAAATAACAGTAACGGCATTTAGTTACACTCGCAAGACGTTAACAAATATCGCTGGGGACTTTTAGCAAACCGTTACCGTGTTCCGCGTACCGAACTACCGGAGCCTTTGAAGCATGCTTTTAAGCGCCGCCCCCCGCGGTCACGGAAATCACCCCGGGCGCTTGCTCGCTTAAAAGCATGCTTCAGAGGCTTAGGGTAGTGCGGTACGCGGAACACGGTAACGGTTTGCTAAAAGTCTTTATTAACGCGTTATCTTTTAGCGAACTAACAAACCCAACAGCACGCAAAACCGCAACGCATGCGCATTCTTTAAATTGTTAAAGCTCTATGGTTTGAGTTGTTCGCTCTCTTACAATGTAGGCTCTTTCTATAGGGCTCCTCGGGCGCTCGGGGTAGAGCCTCCAAGCGTTGCAAACAGCGCGCCGGTTCAACACCGACGACGCGTTTCGTTTTGGTTGGCGACCCAACCAACATCGCGAGACCCGCATTCCCGAGTTCGTTTTTCCTTTTCGCGCTAGGGTTGCCCTGCCTCTGCCTTTTTCTTTTCCTCACGCCGCTACCCGCGAGATGCTGCCAGGGCACTTCGGTATGTTACACTCGCGTAAACGGTCGGCTAGGCAGAGAACGTTCGCGAGTGTTTGTGTGTGGGACTCCGTTTTAGAGCGGCATACTGTGTTTTGTTCGCGCGTTTGCACGCAGTGTAAACAGCCGGCTTCTTAGAGTCGACCGCAGGTTTTTTTTTTTTTCGTTTAATCTGGATTTTTTTTTTTTTTTTTTTTTTGTCTTGTTTTTTGACGGAATGAGAGCTTTCAGCGAGGACGGTGCCTGCTTTGAATCTTGTGTTCCGGCGCGCGTATTGCATTTGCTGCGACAGTCGAGCTAGGTGGGGTGACTTTCCTTACAAAAACTCGGGCGCGGTGTGTTCGTACGACGGCCCGTTTGAGCTTAAGACCTAATTAACGCTTTTCCCTCTCGTTTCATTATTATTCACTAGTTATGGTATTGTCGCTTTCATTTAAAGACTACCGTTTTCACCGGTATGCAACTAAATGGTTGTTGGTTTTCCACTGACGGCTATAAAACGACAAAGATAAGCACAAAAAACTGTGTTCTTCTTCTTTGAGTAATCAATAAGCGCTTGCCATGGTTTCAGAAATGCTAATGTATTATATAAGCACAAAAGAAGCTACAAATGAATGAGAGAGGTGTAGCCATACGTTATACATACAAAAACTAGGCAGCAATCCATTCCACTACGCGCTTACAGTGGGAATTCACACACAATAAACAGTAGGATGTGTACGAGACCCTTGTGATTTCAACATACCCCCTTAGCCAGAGATACTAAAACGTCGTGTTAAAAGTACGCAGTGAGCCGATGAGACACTCAAGAACAGTAATTTATACAAGTTTATTAGGCCCTTGTAATCGCGTATTTAAGGCAATGATACTAGAAATAAAGTTACTGAGACCATGCCTGGTGAAACGCGCCGCATGGGTCAGTTGAATATTCTAGTACAATCGATCATCTTCCGAGCTCTCTCGCGTTTTTATTTGTGATCGTTACTCTAGCTCATAACTGTGTACTGTCCAAACTAATTGGAGTTCTGTGATTGACAACGCTGTCGGTTTTTTTCCTTTAAGCGACCATGGAATTAAAAGACGCGAAGACAGATGACAGTTTTTAATACGCAGCTATTCGGTTATCTGGCATACGCTGATGGGGTAAGACAAAAAGAAAATATTCCTCAATACGCTACTTGAAAATGACGGGACGTCATGAAAAAAAAAATACGACAACAATTGGGAAGTAATTGTATTATCATGCAATCTCGACTACAGGGTCCTTTTTGTTCATTGGCTGGCATTTGAATCTCCCCCTGCGCCCACCTCTCCCTCCCCCTCCCCCCCCCCCTTTTTTTTTCCATTGTCACGTTTTATTTTTTGACTGTATTTTGTTTGAGCATAACTTGGCAAAGACCGAAAGCTGCGGACCTCTGTACGCAAAATCAGTGTCACAGATTGAGGCGTGTGACGCGTTCTCCGCGAAAAGAAGAGGTCTGATATGTTGTCAAGTGGCCTCGCACCAACGCTCTGATTGGCTAGCTGGAACCGTACGTAGCTTTGGGCGTTTTCCAAGTTATCCTAAAGCGGAGCTATACGGCTGAACCGTCTATATGGGGCAGAGGCTTGCGCCACCTCGCCTAAGCATTTTCTTTTTTTGTACTTTTTATTGGGGGAAATATTATGGCTGCTTCATAAATATCATCCATACTCCGTCTCACCCACGATGGACTACAGCCCAATGCTACAGGCCGCCGGGTCCAATGACGAGCCTGTAATAAACCACGTGGTATATTTGCTTCGTCGTGCGTATCAGTGCGCCAAGACCTGTTATGCGGAGGCGAGTTTTCCGTCTGCTTCTCGAGCCCTTGCGGCGGCTCAGACGTCTACTTCCTACTAGTGAAGATTACCGAAGGGATTAAATACCGTCTGGAAGCGACGTGGCGAAGAGAACCCGGGATAAGAACCAGTGGCCATTAAGACATGAAGATGTGCGGATCTGTGGTACGGGCCACATGCGGAAGGGAGACACGGGTGCGGGTGCGTACACAAAGATTGAATTCGATTTTTATGGCTAAGGCGCAGTCAACACTGACTTTATGTCAGTGTTGACTGCGCGCCCTCGAACTTCTCCTAACTGTTGACAGGCTTACGAAATATGGCATGAATGTTTATGAATCTAAATGGCATGTTCTTTTACTTGACTGATATAAAATAGCGCGCTATCACAACAGAGAAGCGTAGGCGTAAGGTTAGTGGTCCTTATACTCTGCGTATTGGAATGTCTCTTGCGCACTCTTTTGGAAAGCGGATGAAAGCTTTTCTGAGGTAGTGCTGCGCCCGCCACCCTTCGGGCCCTAGCCCATTGTAGGGTGAGATGGATTATGGCCAAAGCCAAATCCTCTAACATACTGGCACCTTGGCGCCATCTATATGGCGGCCCATGAACTGCATTTCACTAGAGCGAAGGTTTGGCGGTACATGCGAGTTCAAATGTGCGTACTCTACATGTGAAAGTGTTGCTTATATCATTGTCATAGGATTTTCAAGCAAAAAAATATATCAAATGATGCGCAAAAAAGGTATACAAAAATGCCAAGTGTCCTAGGCTACCCAAAGATGGCGCCAGAGTGTTCTCTCGTGCAGAGCCGTTTAT